GTAGTAGTAGTAGTCGTAGCAGTCGTAGCAGTCGTAGTAGTCGTAGTTGTAGTGATTGATGTTGTCGTTGTTGTTGCTGTTGTCGTTGTCGTTGTCGTTGTCGTTGTCGTTGTTGTTGTTGTTGTTGTTGCTCTACTTGTTATTGTTTTTGTCCTTCTTGTTGTTGCTGTTGTTGCTGTTGTTGTAAGTGTTGTAGTTCTACTGTCCTGCTAGTAGAGTAGTAGTAGTAGTAGTAGTAGTAGTAGTTGTTGTTGTTGTTGTTGTTGTTGTTGTTGTTGTTGTTGTTGTTGTTGTTGTTGTTATTGTTGTTGTTGTAGCCACGACTTCCACGACTGTCACCGCTACTGCCAGCTGCTAGCGAAGCTGCTAATGTTGCATGTTGCGACCACGGCTGCTGCTGTGGTTACCACCACGACTGTCACGACTGGCTGCGGCTGCCTTAGTTCCCTGACGGCTCAAAGCTACTCCCAGCTCCACCCGCCAGCAGCTAGACCACAGCACCGGCTTGAGACCATGGTCACTTCGCTTTTTTTATTTGAATATGTGGAGATAGCCGGTGCGAGCCGAAAGGCACTGAAGCTTTGCCAGGTAGGGGTCTGCTCCTTCCTTCAAAACGGCACTTGGCCCAGGAGATTCGGGGTTTGTCATCTCCGATTTCAGGCTTGTAGCTTTCGGAGCCGAAGGTTTCAGGGCCCGTCCTGACAGGAGATAGATCAGTTTTTGGGCAACCCGTGCCTTCCCCATGACATTCAGACCTGGGTCTGGGCAAGCGTCTTGCCGACCGGCTCCTACCCACCCTGAACACACGAGATCAGATGAAGATTACGCAAAGTTGCGGCAATCGCAGCGGAGATGCTAGTGGAAGCCTGTCAGAAGTGCGTGGCATCCTCGACCTACATCCCTCAGCCCTAGACCGCGATGAAGACGCGGCATTATTCCTTCATGCTCGTGTTCTGAAGCAAGACCAAAGCCGCCTGCCCTTTCCGCCTCGCCTAGATCGCACCTGCCGTGCCATCTGCGACGACGGCTACGCGCGCTCTGGCGAGTACAAGTGTGTTGCCTCCAGGCGCCCAGCGCTTTCCGAGAGCAGGGGTATAACGGTGGCTCAAGGAAGGTTTCATGCCCGTGAGATTGGAAACTGGTTGGTGGCAGTGTTGCTTTCGTGCAAGTACCGTAGCTCATTCAACTTGTGCACCTTCAATCCGACAGGGCGGCGCATTTGTGCAACGGATTGCTTGCTGTAAGTACCGGGTTTAGCTGGAACTTTCCAAAGCACCAATGGCAATACCAAGACTGAGTCGTTCTCTTGCTGGGCGATGCCAGGTATGTGCAGCAACCCATCTGCCTCCCCTTGGGCGACGCCGCGCATGCCGTACTCTGAGAAAGCCCATGCTCGTGGGCCTTGTCCTTGAAGCCTTGGAGCAGCCGGCAATCTCACTGTTCGACACAGCCCGGTCATCGAAACCAGGTCAAGGAGGCCCTCTTCTCCTACGTGACGCTAGCAGGCACAGAGTTGTCTCCTTGTGGATGTCATGCTTCTAATCCTGCTCCAGGAAGACATGGGTTTCTGTTTATTGCTGGAGGCATCGACCTCCTTGCTGTCGCCAACCTCACTTGGTGGTATGGCTCCATCTCACCATCACTGTGCCGTCCTCGGTCTTCATTTCGGCCCTACCGGGTTTTATGCACACGTCCCACACCCTTCTGTGACAGTGCCTTGCAGCAGGTCTTTAGTCTTTGTAGGGCACTCAGAGATGATGCTCAGGCAGCAGGTCTTGGCGGCGGCTCTGGTCCCTATTCCTGGCTACCAGGTGCGGCTTTGTCCAGCCTCAGCAGAGTCCTTAAATAGTAGTTGGGACATATATCTTATATCCAGGAGCTTCAACGGGTCCGCAAGTAGCATACTGTGCTATCGTCGTCCGCCCGCCACTTTCGGGCTTGGCCAGGCAGAACGCAAGGGTTGGGGAGTGTGAGTTGGTTTGAACCCCAGATCCGAGTTCTCTGGGGGAGGTTGCGTGCAGGAGCTAGCATGCAGGTTGGGCCCCAAACATAATAGACAAGACTCAACCTGTACAGTGCAGTCGAGGCAACTGTTAATTTCTAGCTGCATCCCGGCGGACCGAAGCGAGGTCAAGGGAACAGGATAATCCTGGCATGTTTTCGAGACAGCCTTAGGGCGATGATGAGGTTCTTGCTAGTCTGTTTGCTTGTCGACTTGCTCTAAACGGTAGGCTTCAGGACTGCCGGCAAAGCCGGCCTGAAGGGTTCGCAATTTAGGAGCTTGGAGCTCAACCGCAAGCGGACGAAGCGCTGTTGTGAGCTCCTAAGGTTTAGGGGCCCGAAGACAGCAGGAGTCCGAGACCAACAGACCAAGGAACACACGATCGGTCAAACTTGGGGCCCGTGCAGCTTTGTAAACTCTTCATCCACGGGTCCTAAGCAGAGATGCTCCAGTACCTGCTACCAATGCTCGCGTCGCCTGAAGCGCTTAAAAAGTATAGCTGTGAAGTTGAAGCTTCACGGTGTTTGATGGTTTTGAACACGGCTCTGGCTGCATACCTTCAGGTTCTGCCGGAGCAGGCCGGCCGTAGATCTTCGTTGCCCATGAGGTTTCATCTGCGTTGGATGTGGACACTGATTGAGGAGGCTTTTTGCCCACTAGTCCGGGTGCGTTCGGCGAACTTCTGTGCAGGTGACATTGCGTGCTTGGCGCGAAGTAGCCCGTGCCTTACACGGTCGTGTCAGCGGTGAACAGTGTGCTCCAAGTAGTCGTATTGGTGGAAGCCTCATCCGGATACTCGCCACGGGTGCACAGGAAAGCGTTGGTGCTTGGACGGTACATGACGGCATTGGTAGTACGGTTGGCAACGAGTGGAGGAAACGAGGCATTGACAACGTGAGAAGGAAAGCGTCGAAATTGATGAAAGGGGAGTGCAGGCATGTAGCTGCTGCTGAAGTTTGCAGGGGAATCAGGACAGGAACAGTCTTTACCTGAAGTTCATTCTCCGAATGTCTGCAAATGTTTGCGCAAAGAAGGCCTCACTTCTTGCTCAGTCTTGGGTCGTTCGCAGTTCTGTTTTTGTTGGCGGGTTCCCACGTGCGCGTTTCCTGTCGCACGGGTTCTTGGACTTAGCGACCGAGTGCAACAACAAGGCTCACGCAAGCAACATATATCAATGGCAGCAATCCCGGCATTCCCAAAGCAGGGCGAGCCAGCCTGAACCTCTTTGCGTGAATCTACATGTCGCAGTGTGTCTTGCCACGTCGTGCTGGTGGCTGCCTGCCCCCTTCTGCCGCTGCTAGTGCTGGAACTGCTACTGCTGCTACTGTACAACTTCCCACTACACTTGACACCAGGTCATTAGGACCATCACGGCGATTGCGACCCACTGCGAAGAGTGTCCCAGCTGCTAGTTCTCTCAGGAGTGGCCAGCACAAGCCCCTCGCCGACTTGCAGAAAGCGAGTCAGGAGGTCGGACCCCTGAAACGACGTGTGACGGATTTGGGTGATCAATAGTGATCAGGTTTCGGGCTCGAGACAGGGAGCTTGAGATTAGCTCTGTGTTCTTGTTGTCAAAGCGTTGGCGAGTTTGCGCTTTGGAGCCTGCTACCAATCACGGACTTCGATGTTCATGGCTATCAATGCGCTTCTCTGCTTCCAGAGATGTGCAGCTACTATTATAGGGCTCCCCGGAGTCATCCAAAGCATGCAAACAGTATGCCAGCGTAGGCCCCAGACAGCGAAAGAGCACCTAGTAGTCCAGGCCCTCCCAACCCATGAACCAATTCAAGCAACCCTGAAGCTCCTAAGACCACTCCGTTAATCCCTCTACGTCTACGTACTCTGAACAAGGCCGCCATAGTGTTACCAGCCGCACGCCCTCCATTGAATTGGGCCTCGAGTGAAGTGCAAGTTTTCAGACTGTTATCCTTGATATGCTGACCATGATGGCTGTTGCCATTCCTGTCGTAGCTCTTTGACCATGGGGACTTTATACCATGGCCCCAGAGCTCGGGACTGAGGCAACGGATCATCATCGATCTCCCGGTTCCTGCAGGGCAATATGGCCTGGACCACTGAGCGTTCATTGTGGGTTTTGGCTTGCGAACCCGCTTATGGTTCGGACTTCAGAGGTTTAGACTAAGAACTTGTCCAACAGGGTTACATCCTGGTCTAAGTAAGTCGTCCTTCCGGAACTGAATGTGCCGTCAGGACATCGAGCATCTGCGTCCGTGTTTTCATTGGCGTCATGGTAACTATTTGCAATGCTGTTCGCCTGGCCTTTGTTGCGTCTTTGTTGGTATCTTGCCTATGTTCCGGCTTGTATAATTTCGATCATGTTCGTTGTATTCATAATCCTTGCTGCTGCGGCCTAGTAGTGCCAATTGTCGTATTAGTTTGTTACAAAATTCATGATTTAGTTCTTTTTGTTTACTTCTTGTAATAGCTAGTGTCACTCTGATGCATTGCTTTTCTCACTGCTTGTGGCAATAGCAGATGCACTGAGACATAGCTGGTTTGCAACATTGACTTCCAGCCGTGCTGCAGACGCTTTGGCTTACCAGGGAAAACAACTGCAGACTCCGCAGCCTGTCAAGTTGCGGGCATGTCGGCACTGGACCGCGGTACGACCACGCTTGTCATCAGGCCAGACTGTCACCTTCTGATTAGCTGATTAGGGCGTGATCATTGACTGAAGCCAAGCAAGCTTCTCTCCGCTGTTGTGGAGGAGAAACATACCGAAATCACTTCTAGAGGGCTTGCAGACTGGTAACAGGCATGCCCGGCAAGTGTGCACGAGCCGATTGCATTCGCGCAGGAGCAATGCCAAGATTAACTACGACGGCATCCTCTTCATGCTGGACAAGTTCTGTGGGGCAGCTTGGCTGGGACTCAGGGCGCACATGTTCAGTTCTGGGCTACTAATTTGTGCAGGTATTCAATGTTTGTGTGTCATCCGAGGCGGACCGACAGACAGACATGGGCACACAGACAGACAACATCTGGTGTGATGTGCTTATCTGCATATGGAGGGGGGGAGAGAGAGAGAGAGAGAGAGAGAGAGAGAGGGAAAACATGAACCACAAGCGACACCGTTGTTCCAAAAACGGAAGGGAACGGAAGGGAAGAGAGAGAGAGAGAGAGAGAGAGAGAAGCCATTTTGGCTCAAGCCGTGAGTGGTTCAAGGGGTCGGGCTCTCTCCGCCCGTGCTCTTGCTCCCCTTCTTTCCTTTCTTGCTTCGGGGGGCCCGGCCTCTCAACCCGGGCGCTTGCAAAAGCCTCTTGCCCCGCGCCTTCCGCGCCATTGCTGCT